GGGTGGGTTCAGGGGGATAAGGCCCAGTGGGGGGGGGGAGGGGGATTAGCGAGTCCCTTCTCCCTTGCAGGTGGGCGAGGTCTAATGGGCTCGCTCTTGGTATTGGCGGTGGCCGGTGATGTGTTCCGTGTAGATGTCCCGGGACCAACGGATAGTGTCTGAGACCGTCAGGCATCACATGAGCCGTGCGTAGTGACGGCCCACTCCACAGGTCCTCAGCACTCACTTGTTGCATGGGTCCCAGGCACCCAGGGCCCCGACAAGCAGAGCGTCTGTGTGTACCTCGTAGCCCTTTGACCGCAGGGTGTCAGCCAGGGGGGCATATTTTTCAAGCTTGCAGGCTCGGGCTTCACGGAAGGCTGGGGTCCTGTTCTCAAACGGGATCGTTATGTCAACCAGGATGACCTTTTTTCCGACCTCGTCTGTGATGACGATGTCTGGGCACAGGGGACGGTCGGTGCCGGGGACGGTGCGGTTAACGCTGACTTCCCCCAGGCGCGGGTCGATGGCCTTCACCAGGCGGTCCTGGACGGCGTTGTGTCGCAATTGCCAGGCTCTGGCGTGGGGCTTGCAGCTGCATAGGATGTGGGGTCGGGTTTCGGCGACGTACCCGCACTTCCTGCAGCGCTTGTCCCGGTTCCCGTGGCGGACGGCTCTGTTGAGGGGGACGCAATTCAGCTGGGCACGGTGTATGAACCGCCAGTCGGCGAACCGGGTGAAGCTGCCTGTGGGGAGGAAGTGGTTGCTGGAGTCCCACTTGCTGGTCACCTCGAAGACCTTACCCTGGTCTGTCTTTTTCTTCAGGGTGTCTATGTAGAGCGCGTGGACGGCGGCCTTCAGGGATCTCTCTAGCATGCCTCTGGCTCCGGGGGCAATGATGGCGTTGTCCTCTGACTCGATCCGCGGTATCAATATTCCCAGCTCCCGTCGTTCCTCATTCCAACTACACTTGATCTTAGCCAAAAGGCCAAGAAGCAAATTTCAGTTTCCCTGGGTGTTACTGGTTTAACAAGGTGAGGGGAGAGGGAGTTTGTTGTTACAGAGGACTGGAGAGGGAACTTGGGACCCTAGCCAATGGCCTGGAGGATGGATACCTCAGTGACTGGTGATCTGACGACCCGGAGGCCCAGCTCAGGAGTTGCAGCCGGTTCTGGCCAGTGGGAGGACAATGGGATGTAAAGAGAGAACCCCGGTGACTTAACCAGCTGGTTCCAGCCAGAGGGGGCCAGAGGACAGAAGAGAGGAGAGGAGGCCCAGGTGACCCGGTTTATGACCCTGTTTACTTGCAGAGAAGACAATGGACAGAGATGGGGCTTGGGGCCGGTGATAGCAGATGCCCAGCTGGGAAGCAGGGGGGCTCGGGACTGGAGAGGGGGAGCAGGTAGAGTCCACCTGGATGCAGGGGAGACTGAGATATGCTTTGCTAAGGGAGGCCAGGCCTGAGGCCCTGAGAGTTTTCTGTGCTATGTTCAATGCTCAATAAACCCTCCTGTTTCACACTGGCTGAGAGTCACTCCGGTCTAGAGAACAGGGTGGCATCATCTCCTTCGGGGGGTGGAGGCCCCAGGGGTCCAGAACGAGTGGACTCCCTGAGGGGGCCCACGCTGAGAGACAGGCGTGCTAAGGCTCAGAGAGGTGAGGCTCCAGGAGGTGGAGAGGCCTAACCCCGAGAGAGAGTGGACCCCCGAGAAGGGCTGTCTCACTGAAAGGGGCACCCACCCCCCCACACACGGACCGCACTGGGTCAAGAACGGGCACGATCTGTGAGTCCGTGGCACATGGTCTAAAACAGAGCTTGTAGGTACAGAAAATAGGACCCCTAAGTCAGGTCCATCTTGGGGCAGGGAGGCCAGAGCCCCATCTGGTCCTCCCTCCATTTCCCCAGCCAGCTCCAAACTGAAACTCTCCAGCCCCTCCGCTGGCCTTTGTCTCTTTCCCGGGCCAGGAAGCCATCTGATCTCTTTGCTCTCCAACACCTTCAGTTGGCACCTTTGCAAAGGAGGGGCCCAGGCCATCAGTTGCCAGGGTGTCGGCCATTCTCTTTGCAGACAGCATCACACTGGCCCTCTAGGGCTCTGCAACAATCACACACCCATATCGCCCCACCTAGATACTTAAGAAATGCATAGGGGAAACTGAGGCACCTCTCAGTATTCAGAGAAAACAAAGAACATTCCCACTTTGTCACAGGTGACGTGAACCTTAACTCTGCATTTCTGCTTCTAAGAACCGAGGGGATGGGAATCCTTACCCAGCGAGGTCACATTCTGATGATTCTCCTGCATGACATCTCTGCAGAGAGCTCTCTGAGTGGGGTCCAGCAGAGCCCACTCTTCCCTGGTGAAATACACAGCCACCTCCTCGAAGGTCACCGGCCTCTGAAAGAACAAGGATATCCCACTCAGTACCTGCTGCCCTAATCACAACCCCACTATTCATGGGGTAGCAAATGGATACACAGTCAACAGAGTCCCACCCACAACCTGCTCAGAGCACCCAGGAAGCATTAGGGTGAGGGGAGCTAGAGAGAGCCCCTCGTCCTTCCCAGCAGATAGAGGGAACAAGGTCTTCACTTGCATCAGACACAGACTTACCAGAGACTGATACAAGAGATGGAGCCCCCAAGCAGGGTCCAAAGAGGTTCCCTGATAGGAAGCCCAACACCCTCCCCATTTCCAGCAGCTGGATGTCAGGAGATGGGGCATCTTCCCTAAGCCCCTCTGCTGGGTGTCCCCTTCATATGTCATAACCACCTCTGATTAGTGGGTTCACTCTCTAGCACTGAGAGTCTGGGAAGTTTTCCCAGCCCAGGCTGGCTTGTTCCCTCTTCCAAAAATAGGGGAATTTCCACACCCAACCCCCATGGCTCTATTCCTAGAATCTAGACCCCAGATTTACCAAGTCCCAGCAGGTTCATCACACCTTGTCCCCCTCCCTTTCTCCACCCTGTGCACTGTCTGCACCCTCCCACCCTTAGATCAAACTCCCACTTCCTGTGTATTCACTGTCCCTCTGGCTCCTGCAGGAACGCCCCCAGCAATTTCCTCAGCATCCCTACCTGAGACAGCTCTGCTGCACCCACTTCCCTTCCCTGGGCAGGCTGGGAGAATCTGGAGGGACCCGGGGATGTTATTCTGCAGCCTGTCGGGAGGAGAAGGGTTATTAGGGGGGGATTTCAGAATAGACTTTAGGTTATTTCACATCCCGAGTCTCATTGGCTCTTTTAGACTCTCACATTGGGAAAGTGCTCCGGCACTGTGCAGTGCAGACCCATCCCTCCCACCAGGACTAAACCCATCGAGACCCTTTAAACCTGACATTCCCCCGGACGGCACATTCCCCCAGCAGAGGGGGAACTACACAGAGCTAGGGACCAGGCAAAATCTGACCAGTGCTGAGGCAGGAACTGGATCTGAGCAGGTTTCGGAGCCCGTGGCCTCTCTCCCCACTTATTTCTCCTCAGTTTCTCTCTTCCCTCCTGGCTCAGAGACTTGGTTATTGTCTATTCCTGGAGGCCTTTCCTATCCTGCAAGAGCTAATGCCATTTCGGCTCGACACGCTGCCTCATCGCCCAACACGGGTGGGGTGTCAGTCTCTCTGGTTGCGATACAGACAGAGCAGTGAAAGGGTTGCTGTGCACAGCTTCAGGCTGCCTAATATCTAAGCCCCTTCATTTCCAGTTTAAACTGATTTTTCTTGAAAAATAAACTATTATTCACTTTTCTGATTTTCACCCTACTTTTGTATCATTCAAATATACAAAAAATAACTTGTTCGAAAAATACAATCCATTACATGAGATGAATGTATTCTTGTAATGCATCACTATGTGTATACGCAATGCTGCCTGTTGAAGAAAGGCTCTGTATTTCTCTAGAAGATACACACAATAAACAAACAGGCACGCATGCAAGCACTGAAGTGCATGCGCATCTGAACGTACTGATGAATCTATGTGCCCATCACATGCACATTTGAAACTGTTATCAGATAATGGTTTAAAGATCTGATACTCTACAATGGAAAGAAAACAAAAATCTGTCTCAGAATATGTTTCAGAACACAAGGAAGTATTCGAAAGTTTTAAAAAAACAAAACCAGGAGAAAAGGATGAAGTTGAGTGTATGCACTGCAAATGGTGCAGCCCAGTTATTAAGTAGCTAATAGTTGAAAGTCTGCAACAGAAACCTGTTCATTCAAATGAAAAGTTTCATTTGGGGATTAGATTGTTTTCTTAAACTCAGACGTGGCCTTGTGTTTTGAGTTCTGTTTTAGTTCTGCAGCAAACCACATTGATCCTTTGAATTCCGTTCATCAATCTACTAAATGCTCCCCCCCCCTTTCTTTCCATCCACCAAAATAAACCCCCATATTTACCCAGAAAAATCACCTGTTTTTGTTGTTGGGGTAATACTGATCAATTCCCCAGAAAAATTAAATCAAATACAAACTGAAAATGAACGGCCCTCCTAAAATCACAGCTGGGATTCCGAATGATTATGAATGTGGCTTGCATTGAAATCAATATTTCCCAGGGTTGGGCCATATCTGCTCTAGCCACTAGCTGCCCAATTCAGATTCCTTTATATACAATGTAACACTCTCTTCCCATTCATAGGCAATAGGGATACAAAATCATGAAGGATCCAGTGCAGCGTTTATATAAGTTATATAGGATCAGGCTTGATACGTGTTTTATTCTCACGTCATAGTAAATGTCATAGGATCCCAAAGGAGGTGTGGGGGAGGATTTAAAATAAGGGGTCACCAATGTGAAAAGGGTGCAAAACACCAACATGCGCTACAGCAGCTCCATCTTTGTTCAAAATGAACATTCAAAGCCAGTCTGTATGCAGCAAACCAGCCTGTGATAGGGCCTTCAGTGGCAGGGCAGCCTAGTGGCTAGATTGTTGGTCAGCGGGGGTGCAGGGGGACCTGGGCCCTCCCTCTCCTTCAGGTCCCAGCCCAGAGCCCTGTGTAGTTGAACCCCTAAACAGGGGAGATGGGTGTCCCTCCCAGCAGAGGGAGTCAAGGTCTGTTTTCCTGGGCTACTTCCTTCTAAAAGTCTCCATTGGCTGTCACCGATCCGTCCCTTCAGGCAGGCAAACAGAGCTCCTCCCTCCGCAATGGAGCCAGGCTCCCTTCTTTTCTCCCCTGCCTGGCATTGACTGCTGGGATAGCAAGGAGGGGCTAGCTGAACCCACAGGTTTTCTTTAACCCCTGCTGTGCCATCTGGCAGTTTCTCTGCCCCTTCACACAGCCCCATTGCTCAGCCAGAGTCAGTCCATAAAAGGTACAGCTGGGCTCCGCCCCTCCTCGCACCCGAGACTCTGCTGCCCACATCTGACCATTTTCAATCACACATTGAAGCTTTCAGACTCATCAGGTCTGGATATTTTGTCCTTGTTTCATCCTATTTCAACCATTCGGGTTGTTGTTCCTTTCCCCAAAGGAAAACACACCCGAGATCTGGATTCGCTCTGAATCCCCATCAGACGTCACAGCAGGAGTGAATCAGTCTCAGGGCTCACCCTGCTTTGCATTGTGCAGCTGGAAGCTGTGGAATATCGGGACTGGAGGCCGTGATGCCATGTGGCTAACTTGTTTATTGGTCTGAAATGTCCCTATGGCCCGTCAGAGACAGACACGTACCTGTGTCGCTCCCCAGCTCCCGTCGCAGCGTCTCTAGGGGAAGGAGAGGACGGGAGAGGTGAGAATTCAGGTCCCCGCATTCACGAGGAGGTTTCCCCTTGGTTATTAACGTATCCACTGTTAACTATGAGCTGGTGACACTGACCGAGGCCGATAATGCAGCCGCTGCAGACAGAGCCAGCCCCACAGGACTACTCCCATGAGGAAGGGCGATTCATGGAGTTGGGGCTGAGAGACGGAGTGTGGGGTCAGTGACATCACTAGAGTCCCCAACTCCTCCCCAGGGTGGGGGTCTCTCTAACCAGAGGAGACGCCACCCCCAGACTCCCATTCACCTTTGAATCCCAGCAGCACCTCCTGCAGGTGGGCACTTTTCAGAGAGAAATCACTGAGTCTCTTCTCCAGCTCCACATACCCCAGCTCCGGACTCTGAAATCTCCCATCCTCCCTGCTAGGGAAAGGAGGAGGGGTGAGAAATGGGCCCAGTCCCCCAATCCCTGAGCCCAGGAACCCTTAAATTCCAGCAAACCTGGATCTGAGCTTTGTAGCCTGAGGTAGTCACTGTCATGGTAAGTCACCCGCCCTCAGCCCTGTGCTTGCCATGGGCCCAGAGAGATGGGACACTGGGAAACATTGGGGCAAGGAACAGAGACCGGTTCAGGAGCTTTCTCCAGTACACTCTAGTTCTGTGGGGAGCAGAGCCACCTCCCACACTGGGATATTCCAGCAACAAGGGATGCCAGCACTGGGATTACGTGGAAAGGGAGGAGACACAGATCAAAGAGTGGATGTGTCCCACATGCTCAATGTGGACACAGGCAGAGCCCAGATCTTCAGCAGGGAATGAATGTGGGCCCTTAAACACCAAAAGCCCCGAGCCCTTCAGCTAAACCAGTAACCCTGAGTTGTCCAACTCATTTGGTGGTGAGGGCTGTATTGCACTGTCTGTTATGGTCAGTGGCCCAGGGCATCAATTTAGGACTCCATACCCCACCTCCATTCACAGCAGGACACCCACTGCTCTCAGTGGGACCTGCATGCACAAAGAATGAGCAGAGACTCTGCCCTTTGTATAGGAAATACAATTTTAGTTACTGTTATTTATTAAGTCCTTTACTGTCACAATCTGTATCAGTGCCTGGAGAAACAGCCTCCCTCCCACACATCACCTTATGGCCCCTGCTATTTCTACCCTTCCTTTCCCACCCTCCTTTCTCTATTAATCTCTTGCTTCCTTATCCTGTCTGTCTCTCTTCTGTTTTTATTTCCCTACAGCAACCCCCTATACCCACCCTTCAAAGGCTTCACTCCCACCCCCTCCCCCTTCCACCTGCTCAAGTGGTCAGCCATGGAATACTGAATGTTGATATTAAAGTGTTGTCATTTCATTTGACACGCAAAAGAGATGAACAGAGGACAAGGGCAGTCACACCTCCCGGAGCCGCTGTTTCAGGCTGTGCGCACAATCCAAAAGGCAACACTGTCTCTATGTCTATTTAGGAGGGTTGCTTTGTAACCAGGAGGGCTAGAAAAGTACTTTTAAAACAATGCAAACTGAGATTCTGCACACTCTGAATACGTGATGCGGCCACATAAATACACCAGACAGGCTGGGTCTGGCCCAGGGGCCATATGTCTGATAGCCCTGGTGTGACCTCATTAGCTGCCAGAGAGTAACAGACTCTGCCCCTTGCTGAGGCAGCCCCTAGAGAGAGACAATCACAGGCACCAAGCCAGGAAGCTCCGAATTCAGTGCAGTTACCAGGCCTAACAGACCATGAGGGGAGTGAGACAGAGCACAGGACTTACCTTCCCCCAGTGCTCCCAGCACCCTAGAGAGGGAGAGAAAGAAGAGGCCGTCAGAGGACTTGTACCAGGCTGGGGAAGCCTCCTGTTCTGCAGGGGAATCACAATTGGAGCCTCTGGTATTTAGGGAATTTTAGACACTCATGTGCCATCTCCCCCTCCCTACCAGCAAGGACAGTTGCTCTCAGCAGCCCCAGAAACCCCAGCTGGGAGGTGGCCGCAGAGGAAAGTTTCTCCCCAGGAAGAAAATGTTTCTCTGTCTTGAGAGTCAAATTCCCCCAGTCCTGAGAGCCCCACAAGCCCCCTGATGGGAGTGGGGCTTTAGGCTGGCTCGGGACCTCTGCATGGGGGAGGGGATTTCACCCTCCAAGTGCAAATGCAGACAGACATTTACAGGAGAGGAGAGAAAATCTTGGAGTTGCAGCACCAGAACTCCCAGGTCCCACCCCTGGTGCTGCCATAGATTTACTATGTGATTTGGGCAGGGCTTTGCCCTTCCCTCTGCCTCGCTTTCCCCATTTATCCCACAGGGATAATGCCCCCGACCCCGCTTTGTACAGTGCTTTGAGGTCTAGAGCAGAGAAGTGCCTGCAGCAGTGGTTCTGAACTTATTACTCAATGTGTTACCTGGGCCACAGGGCAGCAGCAGCCTGGACCCCGATGCCGGACCCCCACTGTGTGGGGCCATCTGGCTGCCCACCCCAGACTCCTGCCACATGGCTGCCCCAGATCCCGGGGTACCTGCCGGCTGCCCCAACCCCAGACCCTCACCACACGTGGTAGGCCAGCTGCCTGCCCCAGAACCCTGTCACAGGGCTGCCCGGGGGCCGGCCAGCACCTCCAGACCCCGCCACGCACGGCGGGCGAGCTGCCCCAGACCCAGCGCTTGCGGGGCAGGCTGGTTGCCCTGTAGCTAGCGGGGCCGGACAGATGTCCCAGACCTCTGACCCCATGGAGCCGGCGGGCAGCCCCGACACCAGACTCCCGCAACCTGGGGTGGGTCAGCAGCCCCTTTAGCACACAGCTAAGCTGGGCTGCAGTTGTGCTAATTGGGCTGCATGCGGCCCACAGGTTGAGAATCGCTGGCCTATAGGAACAGCGCCTATGATCATTGCAATAACAGCCTGACCTGCAGGGGCTGGCTCAGCGACTGCTGCCCCTTCTCTCCTCCCCTCTCACTGAGCAGGGAAATCTCCCGGGACAGTCTGCAAACGCCCTCATCCCTTCTCTGGACAATGGCTCTCTCTAGTTCTTCCAGCCGGGACAGCAGCCGCTGCTCCTGCTCCTCCAGAAACCCTCGCAGCTCCTGCAACTGCCAGACGACCTTCCGCCTCTCAGCTTCCATCTGTTTCTGCAATCACAGGGAGAGGGCGGCTCGGTAACAGGGGAGAACCATAAATGCACCTCCCAGCGGCTGGGGGAGTTATTTACCAGAGCACAGGATCTCTTGTGGTGGGGGGATGAGACATATATTTAGGCCAGGAAGGGAGGAGGGCTCAGGGCTGGGGTGAGCTGTACATCACTAACAGGAGGGCCTGTTCCCACCTAAATCTCATCAACTTGCACTGAGCAAACCCTCCATCTCTGCAGCCCACATTTCATCTCCTTCCTCCCCATCCCACCCCACCTCCGCCGCAGCAATAAAGGATCCCCAGACACTGTAACATACAGACAGCCCGTGGGCAGGGTCTC